ATCGGGTTCTTGGTCACCTCTCTTACTAAGGCCCTTTTTCCCCGATTGCTCAGTTTGGCCAGGCGACCAGCAAACTTCTTCCATTTAAGAATTATGGAGGCCACTGTGCTCTTGGGAACCTTCAGTGCTGCAGGAATTGTTTTTGTAGCCTTCCCCAGATCTGTGCCTTGCAAAAGTCTGGTCTCTGAGCTCTGCAGGCAGTTCCTTTAACCTCATGGCTTTTGCTCAGATACAGCATGCATAGTCAGCTGTGAGGGCTTCAATAGAGAGGGCGTCTCTAACATGTCCAATCAATTTAATTTACTACAGGTGGACTCCAGTCAAGGTGTAGAAACAACTCAGCAATGATCAAGAGAAATGGGAGGCACCGGACCTAAACTTCAAGTTTTGTTGCAAAGGGTCTGAATACTTAAGGTGCCCATACATCTTACGATTATCGTACGAAACTTTTCGTCCGAAGATCGAACCGTCGTACGATTGTCGTACGTCGGCCCCATCCTGCCCCGATTATCGCAAAGTTCAATCAGCGGTAGTTTAAAAACACCTGAACGAATTGCGGTAATCGACTGCACTTATTTTCGTTTGCGCATGAGCAGTGTTAAATCGTACGACTTTTGGCGGACGGAAACGCCACCAACCATGCGAAAATCGTACGATCGACCAAACTTTTCAAACATGCATGAACGTCAAAAGTCGTACGATTGTACAGTACTGTCGGTCACTACACATACACCTTGCGATTGTCGTACGAAAAGTCGATCGCATACGATTATCGCACGATAATCATAAATAGGGCTGCAACAACTTATCGACATAATCGATTGAAAAAGTTGTCAACTTTTTCAATAATCGATTAATTGGCTTCCGATCAGTTGGCCCTGTTCACGGCTCCACACACGCTGCACCTCCTCCCCAACTCACGCTCACCGCTGCCAGACCCGCACGCCCGTATCCACGCTCTACACGCCGCACCTCCTTCCCGCCTCACACTCACCGCCTGCCCACATCCACCATCGGCACAGGGATGCGGGGAGATGTAGTAAGGAGGAGCAGGTGTGGGGGGATGACAGCGGCAGATAGACAGGCCCGATCTCAGAAGCAAGTTGCTGGAAGACTGCTCAGGTAAGCCTGCACTTTCCCACACATGGTGCTCTATAATGCATTGCTGGGATTTGTATTCCTCTATAGCTGATGGTACATTGTGCTGTATATTATACATAGGAATACAAATCCCAGCAATACATTATACACTGTGTGTATAATGTACTATTGCTGGGATATGTTGTACTCTATAGTTGGTGATATTCTGCACTGCGCTGTATAGAGGACTACAAATCCCAGCACTAATACATTATACAGCGCCATGCGGAATTCACCAGCTATAGAGGAGCACTACAAATCCACTGCTTGTGGACAGGTTAAAATAAAGGGCAACAAAAAAATAATGTTGATAGCCAACAGCAAAATGCAGGAAGCATGGACGTGCTGTGAAGAAGGAGATATGTAAATAAAGCATTCTTGATAACTATCGAGGCAAGGACATTTCCTGGATGAAGGGAAGCAGTGACTAACCTGGCATGTTCCATGCAGAATTTCTACATGCAGAGAAAGGCATTGAGAACCTTGAGGTCTAGAATTAAAAGGTATACCTCCATTAACCGTGGGAGCTGCAAACGGGTTTGGATATAGAACGCCTGAAACCTCTCCTTCTCTGGCACAGGGGCTATGACACCCTGAAAGTGCTGGTCTAGAGTAGCATGAAGGTAAGTTTGATAACATGAAGCAGGATAGCAGCAGAGACCCAAATTCTAGTTTGTAGCAAGACCAAACATCCTGAACTCAAGCATCTTTTTAAAACCTCCTCAGACCTGATAGCTGGGGTTAGAGATCTGCAATATTAGTTTCAGGGCCCTGTGTTTTATGGGGTCCCCCGCTCTTCTGGGGACCACAGCAAAGTAGTT